CAGTGACGGGCACCAGACACCATTCCTTGTGCTATGTCTCAAAGCTGGGGGGTGGGGCAGGGGGTGTTCTTACCTGACACACTTCTCACTACCTTTAGGAGAGTCTTGCATTTTTTAAGTTCCAAGCACAGTTCTTGTTAGAGTTTTGATGCTGCGTGGAATGTGACCTAGACCTTCATAGAATACTGTTGCTCCAGAAGAGAGGTGTGGCCTCAGCCGACACATTCCCTGTGGAAGGCCCTCACTTTATACCCCTCCCTCTGACTGTCAGAAAGTTGGTACCTGGATCCTGTTACCCAGCTGCTCACACAAACACTCTCCGTGAGTTATGCTTTAATGTCAGACCTCTCGCTTTTATGGAGGGTCGATACGAGAATCACTGGTTAAACAACGCTGGGATGTCTTTTGTAAAACTGCAGTTGAAGACATCATTCCTGGTGTCACTAGGTGTCCTTTACATGAAGATCCACACGATAAATTATGCCTTGAGTTTAGTTCCAGGAAGAAATTCTATTTCTGCAGATAAATTAGTTAGTGTGCTCCCTGCTGTCAGAAAATGAAAACTCAGGGAATTCTGGGTGCTTCTTTTTTTTTTGCTCTGCGGCTAGACAAGGGAGAGCCAAATTTATTGCCTGTGTGTGTAATTTGCTCAGCTGTGGGGTCCAAAAGCACTTACTCCTTCTACTTCTTTTAAATGGACTTATTTTATTTTATGTTCAAATGTCTCATTGTACTTTTGCAAGATGTGTGGGTCTGGAAGCCGTCTGGTGAAGCATTCATTGGTCCATTGATCTGGCCTGTTTACTGCTTATGCTGACTGCGGGGACACAAAACTGAATTCCTCCGCACCCAGCTTTCAAGGAGTTCATGTTTTAATGTGGATAATAGCTTGGAAATTATTAGTCATTATAAAATAAGGTCGATGAGTTCAGAAATACGCAAGACTGAGGAAAACAAGACCAGGGGAGAAGAGGCTGGGTGAGTATGGGGGAAGAGGCCAGGAGAGTCTTCCTGGAGGGGTCAAGGCTGAGCTAGCTCTGTGCATGCAAGGGAAAGGACAGTGATGGGGACATAGGCAGCTCTGACTCTGACCTCTTCTCAGTACTCATCCTCTTTCTGCTTAGACTGGAGATTCTGGGAGAGCAGGGTTTAGTTCTGTGTCCCTGCATGGACACCAGGATGCCAGGCAAAGTGCCCAGGGTAGTGCAGTGTGGCAGCTGGAAGAGCCTGAGTCAACCAGGCTATCTGGTTGTGCATCTATAACTACTAACCACTTCAGGTCTTAGCTGTAACTTGGAGAGCAGCAGGGTGGGCCAGCCCAGTGAGGCCTGAGCTGGGGATCCAAGAATAGAGCCGGTCTGCCCGAACATGGGCACTGTTTATCAGGTCCAGGGTAAAAAAACAAACCCTGCGCTGGCTGCTTCTCCCACTTCTTTGATTCTGAAGGCTAGATAAGAATTTACCTCCTGGGGAATTTGTGAATATCAAAGAAGAAAATACACAGAGAGACATGTGAAACTCCTCAGAGACACAGGCTGGTTGTCTCTTCTGTCGCATCAGCCATTGTACCATTCCAGGCAGCAAGGACAGTACAGTTGCACCCACACTCTCAACTCTCCAAGTAATGCTTGTGTTAAAATAACCCTATGGCATTCATCCCCAAGCCAGCATGCAGGACGCAGCTCCCCCCAAATCCATGTCTGTTGTTGATGTTCTTACAAGTGGCCACTGACATGTCTCCTCAAGGCCACCCCTGGATCTCTCAGACTGCCACATCCAGGGGGCTCACTGCTGCCCTGCCATGTGCCAAATCTTCATGCATTTGCTTGTTCACTGGTTTTCAAAAGGACCAAGGCTGTGAGGAAGTTCCCGGATATAGTTTGGGCAGGTTTAAAAATAGAGCCATAATCTGCATTTGTAGTCAGGAGAGGGAGGAGAAAATCCCAAGTACACGTGTATACACATACACACAAGGCTGGCCTCATGGGGTGTTTGTCTGTGTGTCAGTTCGGTGCTAGCAAAAGCAGCTACATGGGGGGCGGAAGGGAAGCCCTTGTTTAGATTTGTCCATTCCTTTGATGTAATTTCTCCCACCATAGCTGACTTTAAGCTGCTGTGTGGTGTCAAAAGGTGGGCTTGAGGAAACGCAGAGCAGCATGCACTGTGCAGACCCCCCCCCCAGAGGTCTGATGGCCACAGACAACTGCAAAACCACACATTATAATTAGCAAAGAATGAAAATTAAGGGTTTGAGGCTTTTGTTTTAAAATATAATGCAACTATAAACATAATTAGATTTTCAACATCAGTTGTGTTGAAACTTAGAAGCACCCCATAATCACCAGCCAGTTCTTGTGACATTCGAGCCAGCCCCAGCACACCCCTGGCTTCCCCTCATCAAGGCAATGATCTCTTCCAAATGGTGCCTCTCACATCACCCCTAAATCTATGTTCTTTGGGATATGGAGATGTCTTCTTATGAATTTCCTTGGACACTGATCTGTTTTGCACATAGAGATGCTTTCTAATCCTGAATGTCTGAGCTGACCTTTCCTGCTTAGATTTGATTGGTTCCCAGGGTACTCCCAACCAGCAACTCCACTGCCCTCCAAAGAAACCTGGGGACACACAGAAGACTAGTGGGGCAGGTCTAATATGAAGGGCGAGGCAGCAAAGGGAGCACAAACCAAAGACGGAGAAGCCAACACTTTCTGGCTGGTCACTGGCTAATTGTTGCACTAGAAAACCAAATGACCGGACAGTGTAGTAGACCACAGACCACACCAACATGCAGAGGCTACTCTGAAGTCCTCTGTCCTAGCCTTTGACACAGGAGTCAGCTGCAGTGTGAGGGCAGAGGACAAAGCCTCCTAAACAGACAAAAACCCTTTCTGTACTGGGGTCACATCGGGCCGCAGCCACTTAAGGCTCCTGGACAGCAACCTGGAGTCAAGTCCCTAAAGTGGCAGCTGGGAGATGTTAACACCTCGTCTCTAATAGGGATAATATGCTCTTAAAATACATGGATCTTCCTGAAGCTCTTAATTGGACTCCTGCCCAAATGCCTTCCCTTTGAAGTTTGCTGATGGCTGCCTCAGGACATCTGGCCCTGCTGACCCTGACACCTGTGCAGTGTAGACAGCCTCCGGGAGGCTGGCTGAGGAATTAAGGCACATGCTTTCTGAGAACATGCAGAAAGGCCCTCAGGGTGCCTGTCCCAGTGGGGAGGTACTGGGACCTGGGAGGTTCTGGGCTGGGGAGCAGAGAGGACCGGATGGAGCAGTCCTGCTATGGGCATGCTTCCCCGGGTCCAAAGTGATAGTCACTTCTGGATTGAGTGGCATTTCCACTTTGGCGATACTTTTGATGAGTCAGCAATATGAAAGCTAGGGAAGGACCCTGTATGAGGGACAGGAGGGATGACTCTGCTCCAGTGACATGCCCAGGGTGAGCACAGGGCAGGGTCCATGACCCAGGTCAACTGGCTTATCTAACAGATGCCGTCCTTCATTCCGGTGGTTCCCTGAGGCTGATGGCACCAGGAGAATGTCAACGCTAGGAGTGCAGAGTGTGACCCTACCAAGGCTTGCAGTGGGAGGCTCAGCACCTAGGTAGGTGGCCTGGGCATAGGTGTCCTGACATTTTGACTCATCAGTTGTCACTTCACACGGTCATTATTATGACTGATTTGGGTCACGCTCTCGACAATTTTATGTGCTACTTCCCTTCCACTAGCCCTGGGTACTGGGTTTCTTGAATTGTGAGTCACTGCAGGACCCAGGCTATCATAAGGTGTGTGGGGTGTTTGGAATATTAGTGGCTGAGTCCTGGCCATCTGGAAAGAAAGTGAGGTGGTTTTTCCAGAGACCTGTCCCACCAGCCTTCTGGATAGTGACACTATCCTCCATACGATTTTCTCGAGTCCCGTATCAAAAGGGACAGTTTCTGCATCTCTGTCTGCCACCGAAGGTGCAGGAGGCCTCTTGGACTATGACCATGTGGGTTTACTATTGACATTGTCAATGCACTGAACTGAGCCAACCATTGCTGTAGGCTAGGAATCATGGGAATGCACACAGAGACCTGAGGTCATCACCCAGCAAGCTCTAGCCAGGTGACCACAGGCAGGCCCCTAAACCTCCCCCGTCTGGAGGATGCCCTGGGCTCTTGTGCATATGACAGTGGTGAACAGAGCTGGTGCCCATAAGACCATGGGTACTGATGGGTTGCTGCTTTTGCCATAGGTTGCTATGGTTAGGATTGATCAGTCTGCCTCTAGAAGGCTCAGGATAGCTCTTTGAGGGGCAGGGTTCAGGCTGGGATAGGATAGGGAATCTTGGGAGAAGAAGGAAGCAGCTGGAAGTGCAGTCACCAGTGGCCCAGGGCAAGAACACGGGGTGGGGTGGGGAGTTGGTTCTCCCAGAGGAGGTATGCAGACTCCAATCCTCACCTTCCTTCAACTTCCAGAGTGGTGAGGGCTTGTCATTTATCTGGATTAGCTTGGACCACTCCCCATTTATTACAAGGGGCCTGCAGCATACATCCCTGCTGTGGAAATATTCCTTTATACTGTGTGAAGATGTGCCACTGTGGTTAGTTTAATAAAAAAATAAATGGCCAATAGCTAGGCAGGAGGTAGAGGTGGGACTTCTGGACAGAGAGCTCTGGGAAGAAGAGAGGTGGAGCCACCAGCCAGATGCAGAGGAAGCAGGATGGGCAGTCAGGATAAAGATAACCGAACCACATGAAAGAACACAGATTTAAAAATATGGGTTAATTTAAGTTATAAGAACTAGTTAGGAACAAGCCTAAGCTAAAGCCAAACTTTCACAATTAATAATAAGTCTCCATGTCATTATTTGTGAGCTGGTGCTCCTAACAAGAAAGTTCATCTACATATTCCCCTTCATCCCAAGGGCTCCTCAGCACACACCAACCTTTACTCTGAGGGTTCTGCAAGGAAACCCCTCTTTGTTCTGAGGGCTCTGCGGCATACTCACCAAGAGCTACTTGCTGTAGGTGCCGCTGGGTGATGGCATCCTTTAGCTGACCTGTCAAAGACACAAAGGAAAATCACCGGTGAGTTTCAAACAAGCTGAAAGAAGACCTCACCTCAGGAGCACCTGACAAACAGAGGGAAACAAAGTTCAGAGTTGGCGAGATACCAGCAGGCACAGCTTCTAGTGAGAGCCTTTCCAAACCCAGGGTGGTGCTGGGAAGGAGACTGCAGAGGTGGGGTTGGCACATCACATGGATTTCACCTTGGGTCAGCCATCTTATGGTTTAATTATGTAAACCTGTCATTGATTAACTTTTCTGGGGCCCTGGTCTCTTAAATAATTATATTATTAATAAAGGAGAAGAGTGGATGCCATCTTTTAATAATGTCTAAGACCCTTTCTTCAGTCCTCTTCTTTCATTTTAAAGCTGTATGAAAAGCCAATCACTGCTTATGAGGCACAGATAATTCTGGGTCACGTTAGCGGGTGACACTCAGCGTGTACATGGAGGTCAGTGAGTGTTGCAGAGCTCTGTGGGACTGGAATCACACTGCTTCATTTGCTCTGGGCTCCTCCTCCCTTCATAGGAAACATCAGCAAAACAGGAAGGACCAGAGGAGGGGAGGAGATGGCTCTGTTGCTAAAGCGTCCACTGAACAAACACTAAACTCAGAAGCTACGTGAAAAGCAGGGCATAGTGTCCTGTGTCTGTAACCCCAGCACTGGGGACGAAGAGACAGGGTGTCTCTGGAGCTTTCTGGCCAGACAGTCCAGCTGAATCAGTGAGCTCCAGATTCAGTGAGAGACTCTGCCTAAAAAAAGGGCAAGAGTGACTAAAAAAGACAACCCAATACCAACCTCTGCCCCCCATATTTGTACACACACACACACACACACACACACACAGAGAGAGAGAGAGAGAGAGAGAGAGAGAGAGAGAGAGAGAAGAAATATTCAGAAGATGGTGACTGGGAGGTGGTAGGTCAGAGGTCATGCTCTGAATTTTTGAGCTAACCAGAGATACTTTGATGGAGAAGAAGACATGGGGAGAACTGGACTGATGAGTTTCTGGACAACTGAACAGTGATGTATGGATGCTTTCTTCGGTCCATTTGGGAGAGGGTGGGTATGGAAGTGAAGCTGTAGGAATGCCAGCTTGGGGATTTGATATGAGAAGGAAACAGTTCACAAGGCGCACTGCCTGCAAATGGATTAAGTGTTCTTAGTCTCCCAGGACAGCAGCAAGCACCTCTCAAAGACACCAGGCAAGCGCATCCCATGGGCTTCCTCCATCTCTAAAATCCCAAGTTTGGGACCTTGAGACATGGGGAGTTCTGGATTAGCTTGGACCACTCCCCGTTTATTACAAGGGGCCTGCAGCATACATCCCTGCTGTGGAATATTCCTTTATACTGTGTGAAGATGTGCCACTGTGGTTAGTTTAATAAAAAATAAATGGCCTATAGCTAGGCAGGAGGTAGCGGTGGGACTTCTGGACAGAGAGCTCTGGGAAGAAGAAAGGTGGAGCCACCAGCCAGATGCAGAGGAAGCACACTTATTAAGTCAGTGCTGTCCACTGAATGTCCCCAGTGGGAGCTGTGATCCAGACACTGGGGGAGCCTGGGAGCCTTGTTGCTCCCTGTCTTCTGTATTACTTTATGTACATAAGGAATATACAGTTCCAAGGTGAGGATGGGCAGAGAATGAGGTCTTCACAGGAGACCGTCTGTGGTGGCAAAAGAATTTAGAAGGATGACAGAACTTAAGTTAATTCCAATTAAGTATCCTTAAAAACCCTTCCTGAAGAATGAGCTAGACCCCTTCCCCAGGCAGCTTCACAGTGAAGCCATATAGAATAAATTATGCAGGTGGAGTCCGCACCTGCATCCCTTCCCTTCAGTCCCGAGCAGCATAGAAATGGATTATTTTTGGTTGACAGAGCTAAACCTTCACATCAGAGGGGCCACTCTTTCCCTGATTTGGCTGTCCCTCCAGGACACAGGATGTCACTCTTTCCTTGATTTGGCTGTCCCTCCAGGTCACAGGATGTCGCGTTTTCCCTGATTTGGCTGTCCCTCCAGGTTAAGCATCATCAGTTCTTCAGTTGTTGGGTAATGTCTGGGTGGGGGTGGAGCACTGCTTCCAGGTATGTGATCAACCTTGTTAATGCAGTTCTCTCTAATAGTTCCTCATGGTGGGATGACTCCAATCATAAATTATATTCATTGCTACTTTATAACTATAATTTTGCTATCGTTATGAATTGTAAATATCTGATATACAACCTCTTTGAAAGGATTGTTCAACCCCCAAAGGAGTCATGATCCACAGGTTGAGGAATGATGAATTAGGGTGATGGCCTGGGGCACCTGCATGGCTCCTCTTTGTCTTCTATATTTCCTCACTGGAGAGGGAGTCAAGGACAGGCCTGAGCAGTAATTGCTCCGCAGGGAGGGACTATTGGGAGTGTGTTGAGGGGGAGTCGGGAGGAAACCTGGCTTGTTATGAATTATTGTATTCTTCATGTGCATACAACATTTTCTTCTCTTAAAGAAGCATAATGGAGGCTGGAGAGATGGCTCAGAGGTTGAGAGCACTGACTGCTCTTCCAGGGGTCCTGAGTTCAATTTCCAGCAACCACATGGTGGCTGACAACCATCCATTATGAGATCTGGTGCCCTCTTCTGGTGTGCAGATATACATGGAAGCAGAATGTTGTATACATAATAAATAAATAAAATCTTTTAAAAAAAGAAGCATAATGGTTTGATTATGGAAAGGAAAGATTCTTAAAAATGTTTTCCACATTATTCCCCAACATGTAAGTATCAATGTAGCATTTATTCGAATTGTATTGTGTTAGGACATTTGATTTAAGAAGTTGACCTACATTTCATTTAAATACCATTAAATGACTTTTAGATTGGTATTAGGACAGAACGTCCAGCAATTTCTGGAATGGCCCTAAACATACTTCTACCGCTTTGTACTACGTACTTAAGGGACAACACATTCTTGATATTGGTAATCATAAATCAAAATGTTCATCACTATGGAAAATTCTGGAAATGCTCTTTATCCTGCAGTTTAAAATACCCAGGTGAGACTTATTTCTGTAACACATCTGTCTCATTAGCATGTAAATTTGCTTTTGTTTTTAATAAATGCTAAAATCGTACATATACCAAATTGCTATCAAATACATTTGTGTGTATGTTTGTGTGTGTGTGTGTGTGGGGGCATGTGGAAGCCAGAGGTAAACTTTGAATGTTTCCTTCAACCACCGTCTAACATCTAAAAAGACAGGGTCTCTCACTGAGCCTGACATTCACTGCTGTGGCTGGTAGCCCTGGAGCCCCAGGGATCTGCCCATCTCTATTTTGGAGTTTTGGGATTTTAAGCATACTAATTGGTTATCCATACTAAACGGTCATTCCTGGAAACATACATGCAAGTAACATTATATGGATTGAGCAGTAAAGTATTTATGTATTTAAGAATATGTACAACTACATAAAAGGGGGGCATGAATTTGAAAGATGGGGGACACATGGAGGATTTGGAGGGAATAACAGGAGGGAAGAAAATGTTGCAATTATAATTTTAAAGAACAAATTTAAGATGGAAATAAAAAAGGAAGCCCTACTTTGAAGTCCTCCACCCCTCCCAGGAAAACTGTCTCCCAATGTTCTGAAGAATGATCCTCTCCCTGAGTGCCTGACAACGTGTTCCTCCCTGGTAAAGCTCCTCCAAGCCTTGGACCCTTCCAAGCAGCACTGTCTGACCTAGTCTGTCTCCAGTTGCCCTGTTTTCATTCAATGATGGGCTCCCCAACCCTGTGGCTGGGGTGGCTCAGGGCTTCTGCAGAATGGGAAGGTTAAAGATTTCCCACAGGCTCTGATTTGCTCATCTAAATAAAAAGGGAGTTTTTTTTTTCCAGGGCTGAGAATTCTCTAAATGCTACAAACACGCAAATGCACTCAAAATAAGGCACCCTTGAGGGACAATATGTTTATAATACAACATATTGATAAAGGCAGTTGTAAAATGTAATCCCCAATGCTCGATTTTGGTGAATTGACTGACATCCTTTACCATATGGCATCTGGGGTAGGAGGGCCATATCCCTAAACAAGCTTCCAAAAATAGCCTTATGGCTGATACCTAATTACACTAGCCAGCAGAGGCATTCTCCAAGCAAAGCTAACATTCTCTCTAATCAGCAGGATCTTGTAGCTCCATGGGTTTTGGCAAAGGAGTAGCTGAGGGAGATTGCAGAATTTGCTCAGCATGAGGCTTGCTGTCATTACCAAGGTGATAAATTTTCGGATTCTGGCCAGGGTTCCTGGACATCTTCCCCATGAAGAGGTAGGGATGAGATGAGATAGAAACAGAGAAGTCCTTGCACAGGCAGGAGACAGTCTGAGAGGGGAGCAGGGACCCTAGACTGGGGCAAGGCTCAAGGAGCAGGCTAAGGAAGGAAGGGAGAAAAGGAGGGAGGGAGGGAAGGAGGAAGGGAGAAGGAAGAAAGGGAGGGAGGAAGGAAAACCCTTTCCAAGGGACAACTTGGTAATTAGCAATTTTCCTCTGTTGACTTATAGTGCTATGCGCAAGAAACACCTTTCTCTCTTTCTGAACCAGTCATTGATGGGGCAAGTGGCAGTGGGAACAGATGGGGTACTTTTAAGCCAGTACCCACTCACAGAAACGCTCTGGAGATGTGCAGCCCTGAGAACACCCATAGTCTGATCAGAGCACATGGAGGGTGTGGATTCTCTGGGACAAGTGTTAGCATCATGGGGAAACAAAACTGGTTCTACATCCTGATACTTGCAGTGTTTAGGAGGCAAGAGTGTTCCTTAAAGCTCACACTTGGTTTTGCATGTAGGCCAGCTTGAGATCACTCACTAAGGATAAGCCATTCATGTGGGATTCCAACAGCGTGGCTCTGCAGACTGCTCATGGGGAGGACTCCCCCCTTCCCTTCCCTCCCTCCCTCCCTTCTCCCCTCCCTCCCTCCTTCCCACCTTTTCTTCTTTGTTTTTAGAGAC